CCTTCACAGATGTTGCCAGACCTGCTGAGCTTTTCCAGCAACTTTGTTTTTGTTCCTGATTTACAGCTTCCGCAGTTCTTTCGGTTTTTAATTAATTGTGAAGTTGTTTGGAATATCTGTAGGGTATGAAAGTTCCTATAGTAATGCAAGCTCTTGGTGTTTCTTGGTTTCTGAAATAATGGCAAATTAATATAAAATATTATGTCATTGTTTGAGCATTGGTGCAGACATCAGTACCACATTGTAAAATGGACATGAACGTTATAGCATGGATTCAGAATCACAAAATCGTTACTGTACAGAAGGAGGCCATTTGGCTGATTATGCCTATGTTGGCTCTCTAAAGGGATAGTTCACTTTGTGTATTATCTCACCTTCTCCCAGCAGACATCATGGAGAAAAGTCCCTGCTTTTCCAAATCCCTTTTGGATGCTTTGATTGAACTTGCCTCCATCACTCTCTCAGGCAGTGCACTCCAGACTCAAACCACCTGCTGTGTTAAGAAATGTTTCCTCATGTTACCATTGTTTCTTTCATTAATTACCTTAAATATATACCCTTATTTTCCAGACTTTCCCACTAACAGAAATGGTCTCTCCTTATCTACTCTGACCAGAGCCCTCATGATTTGAACATCGTGACCAAATTTACTCTCACCCTTCACTTTCCCAAGAAGTACAAGCCAATCTTCTCCAATCCATCCACTAACTGATGTCCTTTAGCCCTGGAACCATTTTAATTAATTTTGTAAACTCTTTATCTAAGGTGTGATGGCCAAAACAGGATGTAACATTCCAGCTGAGGCCAGACTATGTTTTATACAAGTTTTACATAACTTCCTTGTTTGTGTGTTCTATGGTCCTTTTTGTAAAACCTAGGATGGTGTCTGATTCACCAGGTTGATGACAGGGATAGGGTTATTGAGGAGAAACTTGAGGTACTGGAATTATTTCCACTAGGGCAAAGAGGAAGTGAAGATTGGATAGTAATTCTGGAATATTGTAACAAAGTGGCTAGGGAAAAATTATTTCCTCTGGTTGGAGTGGGAGTGAAAAGAAATCAATATAAAATAATCATCAAGAGTGAGGAGCCAGCGTCTGAGATTTTCTTTTCATACAAGTGTGATTGGAATATAGAGTACTAAGTCACAGGCAATGGTTGAGGCAGAAATCATTGGATCTTTTAGTGGTAAATTGGAAAGAAGCAAATTAGAAACAGGGGAACAAAGTCTACGAGAAGAAAGCAGAGCTATTTGGGCTATCTTTGGATTGTTGCAATGAAAAGCTGGCACAGATATGATTAGCAGAATGGCCTCTTGTAACAAAATAAAATAAAAACATTTGTGCCATAGTTTAAGAACATAAGAAATAGGTGCAGGTATAGCCTGCACAGCCATTCAAGGAGATCATGGCTGAATGTGCACATTACCTCTATTTTCCCAACCAGTCCTTGGTACAGTGTAAGAGGCTGCACCTAAATAGATTCCAAATTTGCATTATTATTGGGCACGTGAGGGTTAGAAATTGTAGATTGAGAGAAATTGTGGATTAGCACGTAATGAATAATTCTTTACGCTTTAATGCCAGACTGACAGTCTCCATCTTACACTGCAAAATCCTGGTCTATATATCTCACAAGTCTTTTCTGTGACTAGGATGCGCATAATGATTTTCTTCCTTTCCTTTTTAAGCTGTCAAGAATGTACATGGCATCACAGCTGGGGCAAAGAATTATTTGCACAGATCTATCAGATCAGCAGATCTTGGTTTTACTACTGTTTTTCAGTCTTCATGTTTTGTATAATGTTATACAGTTGCAACATTATACTGCCTTGTATTCCCAAGTGCGTGTCATTGCTACAAAAAGCATAGATATAGAGTGCTTTAACTCCATATGTAAAGTAATCTGTTGAACGATTGCAAGTAAAGCTCAATGTTCCTGTCTTTATGCAATCAAAAAGAATTAAAGATGTCAATGCATTTATTTTTCAGGCGTTTGGACAGGCATATTCAAATCATCGTAAAGTTGCAGAAGATGGGGAGACCCGTGAAGAGACCCTCCTGCAGGAATCTGCCTCAAAGGAGGCCTATTACCTCAGTAAGATTCTGGAGCTGCAGACAGAGCTGAAACAAGTCAGGACGGTTGTGGTGAATGTCCAGTCTGAAAATGAACGACTCAGTGCTGTTTCTTTGGACCTCAAAGAGGTAACCATGGTGCTATTGCTGCTCCAGACAAGATGCGAGAAATCTCATATTGGCCAGTTTTAGGAAAGCAGAATCAATGAGAACAGTACAGTAAATGATCACACTTCTGTAAAGCATAGTTAATTTGTGTGAAATATGCTGGCAAAGTCAATAGCTTTAGGGTGAGCTGGCTGGTGTCATCAAGACTTAATCTGTATTTTAATGCATTGTTTCATGAAGTTGTGAAATAGATACACAACAGCAATCCTGTTTTTTTTAACCTTTCTGAAAGTTCCCTTTTTGTTGACTAAAGGTACTGAGTAATGCTGAGTCATAATTTCATGAGTACAGACCTCCAACACTGCACTCAAGTGGTCATTCTTCACACAGTCTTTGCAAATGAGAGTATACAGGCCATTCAGTTGTGGTGGGCGGTCTTGGGGAGGGGTACATAATTGCAGCTAATTTTTTTTTGTCTGTTGGTCGCACGTATTGTAGCGGAGATCCTCAGAAGTGGCACTTCCCTTTCTCATAATCCTGAGCTCATGACGGAGTTGCAACCAATTGATTTTCATTAGTTAAAAAATGGAAACCTTAATGTCAAACTTGAACAGCACATATCTTGTCTGCTGTGGTGTGAACATCCTACAATGTCCACTGACACTGCTCTAGCCAGGTTACTGCAGCAAATTATATTATGAGCATTTCTACAAACATTAAATTCAGTACAAGACAGCCTGGGTAATAGAATATCTTACATCAGCTCTGTATGTAGAGAGTATGGAGGTCAGTTAGCTGGAATGGCTGGTTTGCAATGCAGAGTGATGCCAAAATTGTAGGTTCAATTCCCATACCAGCTGAGATTAGGATGAAGGTTCTGGCTTTATAACTTCACCTGTAGAGTCACCACCTTTCTCCATGACAGAGCAACCCTATGTAGTGGATTAAGTTGCAAAGCAAGTTGGAGGAGTATCCATAAATCAAATTCTTTCTCTAAGGTTTCCTGCTGTACAGAAACACATTAATTTTGTATTTATGTGACAATAATTTGCTTCCTATAATTTGACAACTCTGAGCTGTTAATATTTTCTGGCTATTTTTCTCAAACAATTTGAAGATGCATCTGATAACACTCTCGGTGGTTATTTTACAAATGCTTTCACGAGTGCAATCAGTTGGAACAACAATTTAGATCCACTTTTACATTTAGTCAGTTGAACGTACAAAGATACCAAACAGGAACAGAAATGACCATTCAGCTCTCAAACCTGTTCTACTACTCAAACAGGATCATGGTTGTTCTATCTGTATTCCAAGTTCCACATCCCCATCTACCTCTGATTACCTTTTCCTGCCTAATAAGGACCTATTCAACTCTATCTTAAAAATAGTCATTGACTCTACCATCTTCTGAGACAGTGTTCCAAAATCACACAGACCTCTGGAAGAAAATCAAGTCCTCATCCCTGTCATAAAAAGGTGATTCCTAATTTTAAAAGAATCTTCACTGCTTCCACACTGACCCAAAAGAGGAAATATCCTTTCCATATCCAGACTATTCAGGGTGCTATACACTTCAATCAAGTCAACCCCCCACCACCCCCCCTCAAACTCCTCTAAACTCCATTGGAAACAAGACCAGCCTATCCAGTCTTTCCTCAAAAATCTCACTCCAGATATCAATCTATTAAACCACTTGTGACGCAGTCATATCTTTCCTTATCCAAGGAGTCTAGATCTGCATTTGAAATATGGACTTGCCAATGCCCTGTATAACATCCTTATTTTTATGTTCCGTTCCTCTCATAATAAAAGATAGCATTCCACTTGCCCTCCTGTTTACGTACTGTATCTGCATATTTATTTTTTGTGCCTCTTGTATTCGAGCATCTAGATCCCTCTGCAGTCATTCTCTGTTTAAATAATACCCTATTTTCTCATTCTTCCTGGCAAAGTGAATGACTTCACATTTTCCCATATTATACTCCATCTGCCAGATTTTTGCCCACTCACTCAACCTATCTGTATCCATCTGCAACTGCCTTATGTCTTCTTTGCAACATAGTTTCCTTCCTAGCTTGGTATCATTTGTGAATTTATTAACTTTGTCTTTGCTCCTTTCATCTAAGTCATTGGTATAAATGGTGAAAAGTCAAGGTCATAGCCCAGCAGCTGCCACACTGCACTTGTCACATCAATGATAAAGACCCATTTGTTAATACTGTCTAAAGCTCAGCAGGTCTAGCAGCATCTGTGAAGAAAAAATCAGAGTTAACATTTCGGATCCGGTGACCCTTCCTTGAGGGATGAGGACTTGATTTTCTTTCAGAGGTCTGTGTGATTTTGGAACACTGTCTCAGAAGATGGTAGAGTCAATGACTATTTTTAAGATAGAGTTGAATAGGTCCTTATTAGGCAGGAAAAGGTAATCAGAGATAGATGAGGATGTGGAACTTGGAATACAGATAGAACAACCATGATCCTGTTTGAGTAGTAGAACAGGTTTGGGAGCTGAATGGTCATTTCTGTTCCTGTTTGGTATCTTTGTACGTTCAACTGACTAAATGTAAAAGTGGATCTAAATTGTTGTTCCAACTGATTGCACTCGTGAAAGCATTAACTCTGATTTTTTCTTCACATATGTTGCCAGACCTGCTGAGCTTTTTCGGCAACTTCTGTTGTTTTTCCTGATTTACAGCATCTGCAGTTCTTTCGGTTTTTGTTAATACTGTCTGTTTTCTGCCAGTTGGCTAGCCAACCAATCTTTTATCAATGGTACTATGTTACTCTATACACCATTTTATTTTCCATAATAACCTTTGATATGGCACCTTATCAAATGCCTTCTGGAAGTCCAAGTATAGTCTGTCTACAGGCTCTTCTTTATCCACAGTAATGTTAGTCCCCCAAATAAGTTGGTTAAACATGATTTCTCTGTGATAAAACCATGCCAACTCTTCCTGATTGCCATGAGCTTTTCTAAGTGCACAGCTATAATCTCTTTAATGATCAATTCTGCATAACAGGCTTTCTGCCTTGCTCCCTCCTTGAATAGAGGGATTATATTTGCTACTTGCCAGTCTGATGTAACCTTTCCTGAGTTTAGAGGATTCTGAAAAATTATCATGAGCTCATCTACTACTTCTTTAAAAAAAGCACTTTTAAAGCTTAGGCTGAAGTTCATCTGGGCCAAGAGACTTGTTAGCCTGCAGCTCCATCACTTTGCTTGGTACTACTTCCTTCATGTAATTTAGACATGTTCCTTTCTCCCTTTCACCTCTAGATTTACAGGTATTGCTGGAATGTTCATTGTTTTCTCTATAGTGAAGACAGGCTCAGTTTGTAACTCAACGTCCTGACTCTGCAAAGCTTGTCCACCATCTACAAGGTATAAGTCTGGAATGAGATGGAATACTGCCCACTTGCTTGGACGAGTGCTTCCCCAACAATACTCAAGGAGCACCACTTCCATCTAGAAGTACAAGAGCAGCAGATAAATGCTATACCACATGCTATAACTTCCCCTCCAAGCCACTCAAGAATCTCGACTTGGAAGTAAAACACCATTCCTTCTTGGGTCAAAATCCTGAAACTCTGTCCTTATCGGCATTATAGGTATCTCTACACCAAATAGACGACAATGGTTCGAGAATGCAGCTCAAGAGTGGGCAATATATATGCTGGCCCGCCCAGTGATATCCACATCCTACGAATGAGTTAAAAGAAGTGTCCTGCGCAATGACCTTCATTTAACCACTGCCAGTGTAAAATATAAATTAACTACTTATGAAACATATTGCCATTCGTAAGATCTTGATGCACACAAAACTGCAGCTCCATTTACTTACATACCACCACCTTGTCAAGGGTATCTGGGGATGGGCAATAAGTGCTGGCCTAGCTGTGACACCCATATCCCATGGATGAATGAGAAAAAGCAAAACGTTTGTTTCTTTTATTTGCTGTTTCCTTGTAATCTAACTGTTAAATCCTTTTTCTTACTCTCTAGAGAATGACACTCATTTTACTTACCTTTTATTTTTTAAATATCTGTTGAAACCATTGATATCCATCTTTACACTTCGAGCTAGCATTCTCTGTACTCTAATTTCTCCTTTCTGATTCATCTTCTGGTCATTCTCTGCCATTCATTGTATTCTGACCTCCCACTTATCTTTGTACAGTTACACATTTATTATTTAAGAGTGATGCTTTCCCTAATTCATTTAATTAACCATAGACACTGAGTCCTCCATTTAGAAACTTTATTTATCGAAGAATTATACTTATTCGGAGTATTCTGAATCATCCCCTTGAAAAGTATCTATTGATATAGCTCTAGCCATGTGTGCCAATTCACTCAGCTTTTATGCCCATAGTATTCATTACTTATGTTTAAAATATTAGTTTTAAACCCAGTCTTCTCCCTTTCAAACTTGATGCACAATTCAATCATATTGTGGTTGCTGCTACTAAGGGCTGCCATAACTCTGAGATTATTTAATCCTGCCACATTGCACAATATCAAGCCTAATATAACCTGCCCTCTTGTTTCTGCAATGTGCTGCTCTAAGAAACTATCTGAAAAGCATCCTATGAATTCCTCACGCAGACCATTACTGCCAATCTGATTGTTCCAATTTATATGTAGAGTGACATCACCCACGATTATTCTTGTCTCTTTATCACAAGCACCCAATATTTCTTTTAGCATATTTTGTCCCATGACTATTAGGGAGCATATAGATGACAGGCTTTCTATACCATGGTACCATTGTCAGTTTGTTTATCCAGCCTGCAGCCACTGTTTCAATTAAATAGAACGAGAGTGCCTGAGATCTTTTAGACAGTTGCAGAGGCTGACACTCCTGCATTCCTATCCTCTGGGTCACCTAACCCGCCTCACTCACAGTCAGACTTTTCTGTCCCTGACCACTGATCAAATCGGAACACTAAGACATGTGACTTCCATCTGGTGATGCATCATGGTGTCTGTAGTTCAGTCTCCAGCTCATAAACTC